TTTTATCTTCTTTATTTTTAAAAGTAGTTATTCTAGATTTTTTAAATTTGTGTTTTTTTATCATGATCAAATGGTTGATTCAGAACATGCAACAGAAGAATTAAGTGGATATTTAGAACGAGATTTTTCATAAACAAATGGAAGTTTAACAGAAATGAAACAAAAAATACAAGATAAATACCGTTATTGTAGTACATGCCAAAAAGTATTATTAGATCATGTTGTTGAAGGATATGAATATGATTATTGGTTAGTATTTATTTATTGTTTTCAATATAAAATTTTAACAAATTTCATTTCTTTTTTATATTCTAGCTCGCTTGTGTAATTTAAACCATAATAATATTGAATCTTATTTTATTTTTTAAATAATCTGATCCATCAGCTGTTGCTATTTTACTTGAAAATGGTCTTCTTGTGATTGATTTAAAAAAATGAAAAGTAAAAAAACATCAAAAAAAGAAATAATTTATTTTTCTTAAATTAATTTTATTTAGTTTCGTTATCCTTTGTTTGAAAATCTTCATATAATTAGATCTACATGAATGATCAATAACATATTGTGATTGTATAACAAAATGAAATACAAATTTTTACCAAAATCTTCTTGATTTACATTCAAAACAAACAACAAAACGTATATATAGCCCATAGGTACATTTATTTTTATTTAAAATAATTCAAATAAATCTTTTATAATAGAAAGATCCAATATCAGGTAATCGATCTGGTTCAACTCTATTTGGTTATAATGAATTTATTATTACTGGGTAAAACAAAAGTTTTTATTTTTTTTATTTAATAAAATTTTCATTTATTTTTGATAGTCATATTGTTGGTTGAATCAAATTTTCGAATCAGGTTATAATCTTGTGTTTTTATATAAATAACATAATTACAAATCGTTTATTTGATCATTTACAATTAAGAAATTCAAATCCACCGATAATATCAGATAATAATAATAATAAAGAAATAAATTCAAATATAAAATTTGATAAAAAATTTATACATATAAATAGCAATACAAATAATGAATAACAACAGCAACAAATGTTATTAAATAATGATAATTCATCTAGTATTTATTCAATAAAAATTGAAAAAAGTGCAAAATACTTAATTGTTGCTCGACGTGATGGTCATGTAACATTATTTAAATTCACAAGATCAAAATTAAGTAAAGCTGATGAAGGCTTAGGAAATTTATCATGTTTAAAATACTGATACTTCAAGTGATCATGAAGATATAAATTCAAATCCTAATAATTCAATCATCAATGATTTACAAATGGTGAAAATTTTTTTTTTTATAGGAATTTAAAAGTTTATTTAATAGTATTTTTTTTAAATGTTTTTTTTTTTGTAGATTTAATATCACCATGGCTTCTTATTCGACATCTATTTCCGAATTTATACGAAATTCTAATTTGAAGTCAATTTCCAACTTTTTATTTGATCTGTTCCAGGTTCATTTCCTTTCAGTAAT